TCTGAATAAAAGAAATCCCTCGCATGGACACAAGGTGGTCCTATGTCCACATTTGACCAAAAATGATGTTTTTACATTTTCATGTTCCAGTCGTCTAAGGCGCCGCGAATCGCTGTGCAGAGTTGCGTCCCTTGGGCACGCCAGAAACCTATGATTGTTGGTTCGAATCCCGGTTCGCCCCAATTATGTTTCTATGTTTTTTTCCGTGCTCGTGGGTTTCACTGAAGTGGTAAACGTCTGAGGCCTGCATCACTTCGGGCTTTCCTCCCTCATTAAGCTGACACGCCGTGATATAACTGGAATAATATTAAAAGCGGCGTTAAACCCAACTCACTCACTCACTTTTCTAGGTGAGGTGAGGTGAAATTGGGTTTAACGTCGCCTCCAAGATTATTGCACTTATATAGAGACGTGCATGCACGTGTGTGTGTGTTGCTGCTTGTACTAGTCCGGACTGATGCCGATGTATAGTGCTAGCCCACTGAGATACCATGCCGCAGTTTAACATGAATACCCCACTCAGACACAGTATACTGACTACGAGCCGACCAGTCCTTGTTTTAGCGCCTTAATGCCGAGCGCCAGACAGGGTAACAACAAGTACCATCTTTTAACGTCTTTTGGTATGACGTGGCCGGGGATCGAACCCCGGACCTTCCGCTCTCCGGTCGGACGCTCTACCACTAGACCACGGAGGCGGTCTACTCACTTTTCTAACATTGTTGTAAATTTCATGAATCCCCAGTTGCTGGAATGTAGTTTTTCAGTGGTTCTACGTCCAAAAACTCATTAGATGCTTTAAACCAGGATGTTCTGTGTCCATGTCCATGTTCATGTCTTGACACAGATCATGTGACAAGGAGATACTTCCAAATCGTTTTCAGAAAGAACCTTTGGTTATCATTTATCAAGAGTAGAATGTGAACATTGGGAGTGAATTTTGTGATATGTCAGCTGAAATATTGATAAAAGATGATGACTTCATTACAATAAGCTGTCTGGAGTATATCATTTCTCCTTTGGGTGACAAAATATTGAACAGTGAGAAATTGTTAACCATTCTTTCCATATGTTGAATTCGAAATGTGACTTAAAAAACAATCTCAGCTCTCTTTTGTAAAGAAAGAAATTCTCAGCCTCTAAAACTGAAGGAATAATTAGTATAACGTTCGACGCGGGGGAAGAAAACATGCGGCTTTACAAAACCACATGCTGTCGACACAAGGCCTCGTTCTACTTGTATTGATCTTATATTAAAATAACTTGTACCATATGTTCAGGGAGATTCCCTTCTGGTTAGTAACATTTGATGTTGTAATTATTAGTATTAGTATTAGTATTATTATTATTATTATTATTATTATTATTATAATAATGTAATATCAATGTGTGATTTTGTATCAAAATGGAAATATGAAATGTAGATTATGTATTGAATTTAATGAGACTGTCCAACACATTGTCAGTGGATGCCCAGCTTTGGCACAAACACAGTATCTTAAGCGACATGATGGAGTGGCTCGATCATTTTATTACCGTCTTCGCCATGCTTGTGGTTTTGACACAGAGGTTTATCCATGGTACGACCCAGAATATGTAGAGGGCGTCATGGAGAATGATTAATACAAAATTCCTTGGAATAGGCCAATATACAGCCTCAGATGTATCCAGGCCAAAAAACCTGATCTTCTTTGAACAAATTAAATTACATATGCCTCCAGTAAATTAAGTTATACTGCTTACACAGAATCATTTCTCTTGGTAAATGTAAGCGTCTGCACTGTACAATCATTAAAGAATATGAACTGCATCTAAACTGGGCCAGTACAACTGTGAGCTATTTTAAATTTGAAAAGCATATACAAGGAGCATTTTCTTAAAGCAAATATAATTGAAGACCATTTTTGAGAATATATATCCATACTGCCTATATAAAAAAAATATCAGGGATCTTTCCAAGCAAAGCCAAAACCACATGTGTTCAGGAGACAGTTTACATGATGGGGCCCAATTTGGGTGCCAATTCTTCCGTACAATAACATCATATCGTAACATGTCTTAGGTAATATGTGCAATGGCATATTAAGCTGTTTTATCCCATGCCTTGGCCGCATGCACATAACTATGTAACGTGGTACTCGTCTACATTCGTGTTTTACTTATAAAATGATATTTATCTGCCCTCTGTCGGTCTTTTCTTAAGAATGTATACTATAAAGCGCTCGTCAATACATGTCTACATTATTGCCGATGCGTTGTTAACTTTTATTCAACCACGCTTTTACCAAACCATGTATTTGATGATTTGAATTTTCTCAATGTATAATAAATTACCATAATGTAGCTTCGGTGTTCTTGATACAAAATTGTTGACTGTATCAATAAGATATTTTGCATCTTGGTAGATGTTTTCTTTTTTTACAATTTGTTGTTGTTTTATCAAGAAACGATTTAAACAATCCATAATTAAAAGCACTTAAACGTGAGCAGCTAACAATGTTTCCATAACCTGTTACGTAGTACATGCTGTTGTTGTTGTTATTGTTGGTGGTGGTGGTGGTGACAAGATCACAACCATTAGTATTATTATCAAATCATAACCCTGTTTTTTTCCGAATAGAGCATTTGCCCGGAGAATGAAGTTCGATTGTTCGATTCCAGGGCCGTGTGATATAAAAAGACGTTAAAAGATTGTACTTGTTGTTACCCTGCCTGGCAGTCAGCATTAAGGTGATAAAACAAGGACTGGTCGGCTCGGAGCCAGTATACTGTGTCTGTGGGGGGTATTCATGTTAAACTGTGGCATGGTATCTCAGTGGGCTAGCGCATTAAAACCGGATACTAGACAAGTACAAGCAACCACACAGATGTGTTTGGACATTACTATATAAGGGCAATACTTTTGAAAGCGGCGTTAAACCCCATTTTACCTTACCTCACTATCTCACCTCACCTCGCCACCTCACCTAACCTCACATCACCTTACCTAATCAAACCTCATCACCGCACTGCACTGATTCGCACCGCGCCCCACCGCACCTCAACGCACCTCACCGCACCTCACCTCACCTCACCTCACCGCACCCCACCTCACATCACCTCACCTCACCGCACCTCACCTCACTTCACCGCACCTCACCGTACCTCAAGTCACCGCACCTCACCTCACCTCACCTCACCGCACCTCACCGCCCTCACACAGAATCGTCGTCGTCGTTGTGGTTGCATCACCTAACGAGCCATGGCAAAAAGATATTATTTTCGACGATCAGTTACCAGTTTGAAACAAGACCACTACGGCAACAGTGATATGACCATGCACATGTTTGCTGCACACGCAACCCACACAGCTTGTCACGTAACTGCGAGATGGTGTCAGATGTAGTCATTGATGTTACACCTGGGAACTTGCCACAGCCGGGAACGTCATGGTGAGTGAGTAGTGTTAGTTTGACAGTTTTTACCTTTTTACTCGGTGCTAGAGTAGTCCTGACAAACATGAGAAAAAGATTCCAATTGGCAAAATAAACAAATGCATTTTGAAGACTTTCATTACAAAACTAAAAGAGTTTATACACCTTTCTATCAAGATAGTAAAAGGGCTGACGAATTCATCTTAAGGTGTTTCAGACAGAGAGACAGTTTATTCAGTGTGTAAGGCCATATGGCCCAAAGCACAGTTTAGTTTTAACAAATATATGAAAACCAACCTTTGTGTAAATAAATGTTTTATAGACATTGCTAAAGATTTGATAGCATCTTCATAAATGGAATTCAACAAATTGACCATTAATTCATTGTCTTTGTGTGTAAATTAAATAGATATTTTGATCTCAACGTTTTATATTTTTCACAAATGAAAAAAACATGAAACTCTTCTTCAATCTCCTGATTGGTACAGTTGGTACATATAACAGAATCAATATCCGTGGTACTACGACATTTATTTACATTGAAGTTATTGAGAGATTTACCTTGTAATACAGTTAAATATTTTCTGGTTGTAACAATGATTTGATACAAGCATAATGCTTAAGAGATTGTGAAGAGGAGACGAAGGTGTTTCCATGGTAATGCTAAGGGAAAGGTAGCATCTTCTTAATCTGTACTTTAACTTTGTATATGAAATGACGTTTATTGAAAAATAACCCTTTGGAAACGAATATCATTTCCTATTTGCTCGGGTATTGTATTCTGAAAGAGAGTTGTTTATAGGAATAACATATGTATGACCTTTACGGGATATGTGAGAACAGAAAGTGAGTTTTTAATCGATAAATAGGATGTGTCTGTTTGTTGTTTAACGCCGCACTCAGCAATATTCCAATTTATATTGAAGTGAGAGAGTGAGTATGGTTTTACGCCGCTTTTAGCAATATTCCAGCAACATCCCGACAGGGGACATCAGAAATAGGCTTCACACATTGTATCCATGTGGGGAATCACACCCGGGCCTTTGACGTGACGAGCGTGTGTGCGTTGTCAAATATATATCAATACCCTAGTTTAAACAGATGTCTTGATGAAACACAATATATCTTTTTTTTAAAGTCTAGAACTGGACTGAATATGGACCAGATCATAGAACATATAGTCATTTTTGTACAATCACTTTATTGTGTTAAAGGGACACGGATCTAACGCAATTCCCCGGACTGGTTGTTGCCTTTGTTATTGTTTTTTTTCCCGTGAGTACCCGGATGATACGCAACGCAACTGAGCGTGACCAGAGACTGGGCTACCGTCTGCAAGGACAGCTAAATAAACTTGGAGGCTGGAGGCAATATTTGCTTTACGCATTTTTGCATAAACACTGATTAATATTATTATATTATCTATATACACATTTATGTTCTCATGGAATCTATATGAGTATTTCATAATGTAGATTCACTAGTGAATATTTCTTAACATTACAAACTCCACTAAAACAGACAGGCATAGGTTCGAACCCATATCAATCGATATCCGACACTGTGTTAGCCTAAAGGTTTTAACATTTCACATTTACCTCCCTTACCGGAAGTTGGAGCAGCACATGTATGGCGGTAGGAATCAAAACGTAAACAACAGTATGCCGACAGAGGTGAGTTGATAGCATAAGATGTATACAAGACATTATTCCAAATATGTAAACGTGTCGTTTTCATGGACGTCTAGTAGTCAGTGATAATTAGTGTAGCTTCATCAACATGTTCTATTCAATTATCATAATTTGATAAATTTTGTTATTCTCATGTTTTGTTCTCATCAGACGGGGTCTGACCTCGTCTGTTACCATTTTCTCATTATTTATTAGGGCTGGGAAGGGGTCCAAATTTACTACCCGGGTATCCGACCATCTATTACCCGACCCCCAATTACCCGACCTTACCCGGGTATCCACTGCAGGTCTCAAGAGTTGTGAACAAAATGTTTGATTGGGAATTGTTTCCGCAGCCCTGGGCAAAACTATTAAGATACATGTATCAAACGATCAGATCATGCGTACACGGAAGTTGACTGAAGCGTTCTCTATAACTCAAACATATCAAGTCAAAAGGAATGTGTGTATCGTCAGAAAGAAATTCAAACATTGGCGACATGTAGTGTAACCACTGAGCTATAATGAGTTTTTGTCATTAGACACTATATCACATGACTAACCATGGGTCCAGTTTGTCCTTAGGGTACCCGGGTTCGACTCAGGACCCACCCGACCTGAGTACCCAGGTTACCCATCCCAGCCCATATTCATTGTTTATTTTGGTTACATTGCAGTTTATCGGGCGCTGCATACTTTTGCACCAAAAGTGATAAAAAAGGGACTCTTCTATCTGTCATTTCTTCTCAAAAATAACATTCTAAAACCTAATCAAGCTATTTTACCAAAAATGCATAACCTGTTAGTGTATATATATGTCGCGAAATCAATAGTACATTAATAATTGACTTTCACTTTGTGTGAGTTCATAGGAGTATGAACCTTCATGGAGTGAGGGCAAAACTGTGTGAACGTCAGAGCTTGCGACAACATTCGGTGCAGTGCACCGACAATGCACCGGTGAGTCGCGACATCATTAATGCTGGAAGTGTGTTTCAGGACCGGGGTTTGTCAGTGCGGCAGTTTCTCCACACAACCGTGTTCTCACAGTGCTTCTCTCCATGTGGGAAATACCTCGTGGCAGCCAACAATTATGGCCAGATCGCCGTGTTCAAGTATGTATTTATTTACCATGTTGTGGTAATTGATTGGTCAGAAATCAAGAACGTGTAGAAACTGAAAAGAGAATCGGGTTGTCACACAATCTTCATCTTAACTGATTGAATGTCATTATCATGATTATACAAATAATTAATCTTGACAAGGTCAAAATATAGAAACAAGGACCCGTTGACCCGCCCCCGAGGTGGTCTGACTAGACCAAGGCCATAGGCCTTGTTTTCGCATATGACCTCGTCAAGAGTAATTGTTTGTTTTGTTATACAATTACATACCATATAAGTTTATGAAGCCTTACAGTCCTGTTTCATTACAGAAAGCAGGGCGGTCGGGTAGCCTAGTGGTTAAAGCGTTCGCTCGTCACGCCGAAGACCCAGGTTCGATTCCTGACATGGGTACAATGTGTGAAGCCCATTTCTGGTGTCCCTCGCCATGATATTGCTGGAATATTGCTAAAAGCGGCGTAAAACCATACTCACTCACATTACAGGAAGCTAGATGCAAACTGTAAAATGTTACTACCAGACGCCATCTTTTTTTTAACAGACGGCTCATTATTCACAAAATAACTATACACATAAACAGAACATACATGAATCCTAAATGCATCCTCACATTACGCTCATCCAAATGTGGACCGCCCCTGTGGTCTAGTGGTAGAGCGTCCGCCCGGAAAACGGAAGATCAGGTGTTCGATCCCTGGCCGCGTCATACCAAAAGATGTTAAAAGATGGTACTTGTTGTTACCCTGTCTGGCGCTCAGCATTAAGGGGCTAAACCAGGACTGGTCGGCTCGGAGTCAGTATACTGTGTCTGAGTGGGATATTCATGTTAAACTGCGGCATGATATCTCAGTGAGCTAGCACTATAAATCGGCATCAGTCCGGACTAGTACAAGCAGCCGCACACACACGTACATACACGTCGCTATGTAAGTGCAATAATCTTGGACACGAGGTTAAACCCCATTTAACCTCACTTCATCCAAATGTAGCAGGGTGTACTGTCTGTACTTGTTGATTCACACATACAATCTCAGTGTTATCTCATGGCATGTTGTTTATTCACACATACAATCCCAGTGTTATTTCATGGCATGTTGTTTATTCACACATACAATCCCAGTGTTATCTCATGGCATGTTGTTTATTCACACATACAATCCCAGTGTTATCTCATGGCATGTGTTTATTCACACATACAATCCCAGTGTTATCTCATGCATGGCATGTTGTTTATTCACACATACGATCCCAGTGTTATCTCATGGCATGTGTTTATTCACACATACAATCCCAGTGTTATTTCATGGCATGTTGTTTATTCACACATGCAATCCCAGTGTTATCTCATGGCATGATGTTTATTCACACATACAATCTCAGTGTTATTTCATGGCATGTTGTTTATTCACACATGCAATCCCAGTGTTATCTCATGGCATGTTGTTTATTCACACATGCAATCCCAGTGTTATCTCATGGCATGTTGTTTATTCACACATGCAATCCCAGTGTTATCTCATGGCATGTTGTTTATTCACACATACAATCCCAGTGTTATCTCATGGCATGTTGTTTATTCACACATACAATCCCAGTGTTATCTCATGGCATGTTGTTTATTCACACATACAATCCCAGTGTTATCTCATGGCATGTTGTTTATTCACACATACAATCCCAGTGTTATCTCATGGCATGTTGTTTATTCACTCATACAATCCCAGTGTTATCTCATGGCATGTTGTTTATTCACACATACAATCTCAGTGTTATCTCATGGCATGTTGTTTATTCACTCATACAATCCCAGTGTTATCTCATGGCATGTGTTTATTCACACATACAATCCCAGTGTTATCTCATGGCATGTTGTTTATTCACTCATACAATCCCAGTGTTATCTCATGGCATGTTGTTTATTCACACATGCAATCCCAGTGTTATCTCATGGCATGTTGTTTATTCACTCATACAATCCCAGTGTTATCTCATGGCATGTGTTTATTCACACATACAATCCCAGTGTTATCTCATGGCATGTTGTTTATTCACTCATACAATCCCAGTGTTATCTCATGGCATGTTGTTTATTCACACATACAATCTCAGTGTTATCTCATGGCATGTTGTTTATTCACACATACAATCTCAGTGTTATCTCATGGCATGTTGTTTATTCACACATACAATCCCAGTGTTATCTCATGGCATGTGTTTATTCACACATACAATCCCAGTGTTATCTCATGGCATGTTGTTTATTCACACATACAATCCCAGTGTTATCTCATGGCATGTTGTTTATTCACACATACAATACCAGTGTTATCTCATGGCATGTTGTTTATTCACACATACAATCCCAGTGTTATTTCATGGCATGTTGTTTATTCACACATACAATCCCAGTGTTATCTCATGGCATGTTGTTTATTCACACATACAATCTCAATGTTATCTCATGGCATGTGTTTATTCAAACATACAATCCCAGTGTTATCTCATGGCATGTTGTTTATTCACACATACAATCCCAGTGTTATCTCATGGCATGTTGTTTATTCACACATACAATCCCAGTGTTATCTCATGGCATGTGTTTATTCACACATACAATCTCAGTGTTATCTCATGGCATGTGTTTATTCACACATACAATCCCAGTGTTATCTCATGGCATGTTGTTTATTCACACATACAATCCCAGTGTTATCTCATGGCATGTTGTTTATTCACACATACAATCTCAGTGTTATCTCATGGCATGTTGTTTATTCACACATACAATCCCAGTGTTATCTCATGGCATGTGTTTATTCACACATACAATCCCAGTGTTATCTCATGGCATGTTGTTTATTCACTCATACAATCCCAGTGTTATCTCATGGCATGTTGTTTATTCACACATGCAATCCCAGTGTTATCTCATGGCATGTTGTTTATTCACTCATACAATCCCAGTGTTATCTCATGGCATGTGTTTATTCACACATACAATCCCAGTGTTATCTCATGGCATGTTGTTTATTCACTCATACAATCCCAGTGTTATCTCATGGCATGTTGTTTATTCACACATACAATCTCAGTGTTATCTCATGGCATGTTGTTTATTCACACATACAATCTCAGTGTTATCTCATGGCATGTTGTTTATTCACACATACAATCCCAGTGTTATCTCATGGCATGTGTTTATTCACACATACAATCCCAGTGTTATCTCATGGCATGTTGTTTATTCACACATACAATCCCAGTGTTATCTCATGGCATGTTGTTTATTCACACATACAATACCAGTGTTATCTCATGGCATGTTGTTTATTCACACATACAATCCCAGTGTTATTTCATGGCATGTTGTTTATTCACACATACAATCCCAGTGTTATCTCATGGCATGTTGTTTATTCACACATACAATCTCAATGTTATCTCATGGCATGTGTTTATTCAAACATACAATCCCAGTGTTATCTCATGGCATGTTGTTTATTCACACATACAATCCCAGTGTTATCTCATGGCATGTTGTTTATTCACACATACAATCCCAGTGTTATCTCATGGCATGTGTTTATTCACACATACAATCTCAGTGTTATCTCATGGCATGTGTTTATTCACACATACAATCTCAGTGTTATCTCATGGCATGTTGTTTATTCACACATACAATCCCAGTGTTATCTCATGGCATGTTGTTTATTCACACATACAATCTCAGTGTTATCTCATGGCATGTTGTTTATTCACACATACAATCTCAGTGTTATCTCATGGCATGTGTTTATTCACACATACAATCTCAGTGTTATCTCATGGCATGTTGTTTATTCACACATACAATCCCAGTGTTATCTCATGGCATGTTACTTGTTTCCAGTTTATCCTCCAGTCTGTCGCCAGATGCTGTGGATACCTCCTACAGTCCAGTCTTCACATTCAGAGGTAGGACTACAGTGGACGTACACACTGGTCCTGACTTGGACATAAGAATTCTTTATGGTTCATGCTTATTTGACAATTTAGTTGAGTCATGGGTGGCCCAGTTATCTTAGGTGCTGTAATTCCCTATGCAGAGTTCCTTCCCTTAGATATGCCAGGAACCTATAAATTGTGAGTCCACGATTCCAAAATGTAGACTGTTTACTAGGTTTTCACCATATCCGTGCTCATGGGTTTCACCAAAGTGGTAAACGTCCCAGACCTGCATCCCTTTGGCTTTCCGCCCACATCAAGTTGACACGCCATGATATGACTGGAATACTGTACATATAGAGGAAGTTGACTGAACTCACTCACTCACTTTTGATCATTAAGATTTTAGTGGTTATTTAGGAAGGAACATATGAAAGAAATTTCATCCAGTTGTCTCATGAACATAAAATAGCTGCAGGTGTCTCAGATGACAGGCATAAAATAATAATATTATTGAGACTTTATGAAAACAACTTTTCAATTTTGTTGTATTTTATCAATAAATTTGCAATCTTGTTCAAATCAGATCTTACTCAATATGATACCTCTCTGCATGAAGATCAGAGGACACCTCCATGACATTTATCAATTTTAGTATTTTTTATGACCATCTGGATATCATTACCATGTATTTTACAATATTATTGTGACATTGTCGCTCAGTGGTAAGCATGGTAAGACATGGGCTTGTTTATCTACCTTTGTGTAGACCGTCCCTGTGGCCTTGTGGTTCAATAACCGTCAGCATCATACATCATACCAAAAGACGTTAAAAAATGGTACTTGTTGTTACCCTGCCTGATGCTCGGAGATTAAAACGAGGGCTGTTATGAGTCATTGTACAGTAGGGTAGCTATTCTATATTGATCTGTATCCAAGTGGTATCACTCCAGACTAGTATAAGCAGCCACACACACATATGATGCATGTCGGTATGTAAGTGCAATACTATTGAATACAACGTTAAACCCTATTTCACCTCACATATACCAGCTGATATACCAGTATACCTTTATGGCACAGCAGTTGATGAGTTTTGTTTTCTTGACATCAGCTAGCGAGGATGGAGCTGTGTACTGCCTTGCCTCCACGAGCACGCTCCTTATAAGGTCAGTGGAATCCTCTTCATCATCAATGTGAAAAAGGCATCAGTAACAGTTTTAATACTTTCATACCCGTGAAAATCCGGGTTAGAATAGATCTTCAGCAACCCATGCCGTAAATGGCAACTATGCTTGTCATAAGAGGCGACTAACGGGATCAGGTGGTCAGACTCGCTGACTTGGTTGATGCATGTCATCATATCCCAATTACGTAGATTGATGCTCATGATGTCAATCACTGGATTGTCTGGTCCAGGCTCGATTATTTACAGACCACCGTCATATAGCTGGAATATTGCTGAGTGCGGCGTTAAACAACAAACAAAGAAAACAAAGTTTTATAAATTCAGTGGGTTCCTTTGCTTGTCTGCATCCACTGATCTCTTGATATGCCTCTGCATAGTTTCGGCAGCCTTCTAGAGACACGTACAATATTATTAAAACTTTTCATCAGCTATTGAGGGTTTCTCAGGCATTTATCGACATCTGAATTCTGTAATTTGTAGATACAGTGGAACCCCTCCGGAAACCTTGCTTGGTGAACAATATTTACATAAAGTAAAATATATCAGATATATACTCACTGCCAAAACAAACGCAAATACCATACATGTTGGTTAATATATGAAGACTTACTCACATTCAACAGATATCAGATTGGTTCGATGCACAAACGAACATACTGGTATGTTGTGTGAACCGACGCTCATGAATCCATCACATAACACATGTGCATCATAGATCCATGACTCGGGATGCACCATTTGTCTTGTGCAGGATTAGCGTGTAAAGTTTGGAAATCATGGGCACGAGAATACAGGCACTCTGTGGTAACGCTTGACTGTTTGTTAGTTTTGTCATTAATTTGTACACATTGGAAACATTTGTTCTGTTACGTACAGTCAAGTCCCGTTAATCCGACATGGTTGGTTGCATATGATTATGTCGGATTAACGAGTATGTGGGATAAACGAAATTAAGTAGTATCAAAGTTCGGTATGGAAAATCGACTACTACACGATAGATAAGGTACAATCACGTAATTAAAAAATCAAAATGAAATATTCATATTGTTATGTTACATTGTTAGGGGAATATGTTTTCTTATCATGCAACCTCTAAAGTTTAGCACAAAACAACTGTTACGGACTGTATGACTGATTCAAATACTTTAAAAAGCATAGTCTGGAATGGAAGTCGCAAGTTTGAAACTGGTACCGCAAAGCTTAAGAAAGCTGCTTTCTAAGTGTCCAACGTTGACTTCCTGTTAGTCATTTCATTGGTCGGCCATAGTTCACGAAAGGTTGTTCTGACGTGACCTGTAATGGGATGTCCTCTGCGATAGCGAAAACTTGTATCTGATTTTAATGAGAATGAGGTAATCTAAGCATGTGATTAATCCTGTTTTCTATATTTAAAGCATTAATTGTTTATTGTTAAGCAAGTTTATCTCTGCAGCCGTTGTAATATGCAGCTACCAGCTGACTCGTCTCGCATCAAAACACGGGCTGTGTACTCGCGGGCAGTACACGGAGTACGCTGATCATTGTGTCGGATTAACAAGACTGATTCAGCAATTCGTTGTCGGATTAACAAGACTTGACTGTACATACTTCTCTGTATGTTTCTCTGGTTCACATATCTTTTGGCCATGAGTATATAATACATACAATGCTTCATATATCCGCAAAACCGGTTTCCGTTTCCGTTTCCGTTTCCGGTCATTCTCACCTCACTTTAGTTTCAGGTGAGGCAGGAGCATTGTCTCACTTTAAGCAATAACTTGATATATGTGATTTAACTGAAATAATTTACTGAAATATTTCTCACCACTATGGCATTTCAAACTGACATAAGTCAATTCAGTTATCATTCAGTGGCACTATATTTGAACGAAAAGGGGATGTAAATTTAATAATTGTGGCCTACCTGAAATACTGTGAGTGTCTTCCTGCTATATCTCTCACTAATATATTTAGTAATAATTCTCTGTTGTTCCAGTGCTGGGGAAGGAGACATCTGTGCATGGAGGTGGGCAGACATCTTGAATAAGGTATTGTGGGAAATGTATGATGCTGGGTCTTAGATAGAATTGTTGATTTGAGAACTTGTGTTAAGGTTAATGTTCATGTTATAATCTTTGTCGCAAGAAGGTGAGGGAAAAGGCACCATTGAAATAATATTTTTTGTTTGTTTGAATACAGTATTATATTCGATTTGTACTTTCAAAACTGAGATTTGAGGTAATTTGTTTGTGTCATGTATGCTCATGTGTTTCAGGCTCCTAAAATCATCTGGTCATTTTCTCTGCCCAAAAAGTAAGTGGAATCGTTTTAATCAGCAAATTTTATAGAATCATTGAAGTGAATATTAATTTCATCCCTGGCACCTATGTTCAGATCATCTTGTGATTCTATCTTTACGACAAGGGGAGCATCTTCATGTGTACTTGAACCAAATGTTTTCCCATAGACTTCTATAGTAACATTATATTTCTTTTTAAAAATAACTAAGCATTCAACAGCTATTACCTGTACGTGTGTGCACAGTTTGGCCTCAGAGCAGCAATAATAACATAAAAAATGACTAGCTTAGCCAGCTCCTTTTCCGAGTACAGGAAGCTAAACACACCACCCCCAGTTTCGCACCAAATGTCACCTACTTGAAAATAGCTGTGGTCACATTCAGCATAAGTCATCATGTTGAAAAAGACAGTACTAAATATAGAAAAACATGGTCAGTTTTAATAAATGGTTGGATGTACATTTGAAAGACATAAAAATCTTACAGAATATCCTCCAATCACAGGCTTGTCAAGTCTATTGTCTTGATTGTCAGTTATTTTTAGACCCACGTCATTTATCACATGGTGGCACGTGGTCCTGTGCACAGTGCACTGGTCATAAATCAGGTGAAGTTAAGCAATGTCGGTCGCGGAGAGTCCTTTAGATGGGTAACCATGTTTCGGCAGCTTGGCTACTGAGAGTTTCTTGGGCTTCAGTCCTTCTCACACTGAAGCACATGTAACAAATGTGGCGTCTCCTTGGGCAAGTGACTTTGTTCACCTAGCAGTGAATGGGTACCCGTTAGGATGAGATGGAAATGTGTTTAACCTTCTAGCGCTTAACAGGCAGCTTAGGTTGTATAGTCCCCAGGGAGAAGAGAATGATTCTTGAGTGCACACTGATCCCTGAGTGGTGTGGAAATATGCGCAATGTAACAGTGGTCTGTTATCTAATACTTGTGAGTACAGTGTTAAACAATAAACACCTTGTCTTCAACTACTGAGAACTTTCTTCACTGTACCAAGTGTATGTGACATGAAAGTTTTATAGTGAACGTTCATAAATGCTTCGAATGAAACTGAATTAAACTTTTATGTGTTATTGTCATATCTGTCCAAGATATATCTTCGCATCCTCTTGATAATCGTATATGCACATTTTGTTTCAGAGGAGTGTTTACAAACCCAGAAGTTAACTCCATTGTGATGGATCAGCAGGTTGGTAATCCTCAGGGCGGGGTGAGTGAGTGAGTGAGTTGGGTTTAAGAACGTGAGTAAGGTAGTTAGGTTTAATGTCACTTCTAGTCTGGTGGGTGAGGTAGTTGCAGGGATAGAAATTAACCAAGAATAATAAAATATAGCAATACCAACATCACTTCAGGTCAGGTGGGTGAGGTAGCTGGGTTTAACACTGCTTCAGGTCAGGTGGGTGAGGTAGCTGGGTTTAGCAAAACTTCAGGTCAGGTGGCTGAGGTAGCTGGGTTTAACAAAACTTCAGGTCAGATGGCTGAGGTAGCTCGGTTTAGCAAAACTTCAGGTCAGGTGGCTGAGGTAGCTGGGTTTAACACTGCTTCAGGTCAGGTGGCTAAGGTAGCTGGGTTTAGCAAAACTTCAGGTCAGGTGGCTGAGGTAGCTGGGTTTAACAAAACTTTAGGTCAGGTGGCTGAGGTAGCTAGGTTAAGCACTGTTTCAGGTCTGTTTAGTAAGGTAGTAAGGTTTAATGTTACTTCTAGTCAGGTGGTGAGGTAGCTGGGTTTAACACGACTTCAGGTCAGGTTGGTGAGGTAGCTGTGTTTAGCACTGCTTCAGGTCAGGTGGGTGAGGTAGCTGAGTTTAGCACTGCTTCAGGTCAGGTGGGTGAGGTAGCTGGGTTTAGCACGACTTCAGGTCAGGTGGGTGAGGTAGCTGGGTTTAGCACAACTTCAGGTCAGGTTGGTGAGGTAGCTGGGTTTAACACTGCTTCGGGTCAGGTGGGTGAGGTAGCTGGGTTTAGCACTGCTTCAGGTCAGGTGGGTGAGGTAGCTGGGTTTAACATCACTTCAAGTCAGGTGGGTGGGGTAGCTGGGTTTAACATCACTTCAGGTCAGGTGGGTTTAACTCTTCCCATCAAGTGAGTGAGTGAGTTGGGTTAACACTGCTTCAGATCAGATAGGTAGGTGAGTGAGTATGTTTCAAGACTACTTCAGGTAGTGGTGTAAGTGAGGTAGGTTTAATGCTCCATCGGGTCAGTTCAGGCAGTGCTCCTTCAGGTCAGTTCAGGCAGTGCTCCTTCAGGTCAGTTCAGGTAGTGCTCCTTCGGGTCAGTTCAGGCAGTTCTCCTACGGGTCAGTTCAGGCAGTGCTCCTTCGGGTCAGTTCAGGCAGTGCTCCTTCAGGTCAGTTCAGGCAGTGCTCCTTTTGGGTCAGTTCAGGCAGTGCTCCTTCGGGTCAGTTCAGGCAGTGCTCCTGCGGGTCAGTTCAGGCAGTGCTCCTTCGGGTCAGTTCAGGCAGTGCTCCTGCGGGTCAGTTCAGGCAGTGCTCCTTCGGGTCAGTTCAGGCAGTGCTCCTGCGGGTCAGTTCAGGCAGTGCTCCTTCGGGTCAGTTGAGGCAGTGCTCCTTCGCGTCAGTGCAGGCAGTGCTCCTTCGGGTCAGTTCAGGCAGTGCTCCTGCGGGTCAGTTCAGGCAGTGCTCCTTCAGGTCAGTTGAGGCAGTGCTCCTGCGGGTCAGTTCAGGCAGTGCTCCTTCGGGTCAGTTCAGGCAGTGCTCCTGCGGGTCAGTTCAGGCAGTGCTCCTTTTGGGTCAGTTCAGGCAGTTCTCCTACGGGTCAGTTCAGGCAGTGCTCCTTCGGGTCAGTTCAGGCAGTGCTCCTTCGGGTCAGTTCAGGCAGTGCTCCTTCGGGTCAGTTCAGGCAGTGCTCCTTCGGGTCAGTTCAGGCAGTGCTCCTGCGGGTCAGTTCAGGCAGTGCTCCTTCGGGTCAGTTGAGGCAGTGCTCCTTCGGGTCAGTTCAGGCAGTGCTCCTTCGCGTCAGTGCAGGCAGTGCTCCTTCGGGTCAGTTCAGGCAGTGCTCCTGCGGGTCAGTTCAGGCAGTGCTCCTTCAGGTCAGTTGAGGCAGTGCTCCTGCGGGTCAGTTCAGGCAGTGCTCCTGCGGGTCAGTTCAGGCAGTGCTCCTGCGGGTCAGTTCAGGCAGTGCTCCTGCGGGTCAGTTCAGGCAGTGCTCCTTCGGGTCAGTTCAGGCAGTGCTCCTGCGGGTCAGTTCAGGCAGTGCTCCTTCGGGTCAGTTCAGGGAGTGCTCCTTCGCGTCAGTGCAGGCAGTGCTCCTTCGGGTCAGTTGAGGCAGTGCTCCTGCGGGTCAGTTCAGGCATTGCTCCTTCAGGTCAGTTGAGGCAGTGCTCCTGCGGGTCAGTTCAGGCAGTGCTCCTTCGGGTCAGTTCAGGCAGTGCTCCTTCAGGTCAGTTCAGGCAGTTCTCCTACGGGTCAGTTCAGGCAGTGCCCCTTCGGGACAGTTCAGGGAGTGCTCCTTCGGGTCAGTTCAGGCAGTGCTCCTTCGGGTCAGTTCAGGCAGTGCTCCTTCGGGTCAGTTCAGGCAGTTCTCCTACGGGTCAGTTCAGGCAGTGCTCCTTCAGGTCAGTTGAGGCAGTGCTCCTGCGGGTCAGTTCAGGGACTGCTCCTTCAAGTCAGTTCAGGGACTGCTCCTTCAGGTCAGTTCAGGGAGTGCTCCTTCGGGTCAGTTCAGGGAGTGCTCCTTCAGGTCAGTTGAGGCAGTTCTCCTTCAGGTCAGTTCAGGGAGTGCTCCTTCAGGTCAGTTCAGGCAGTTCTCCTACGGGTCAGTTGAGGGAGTTCTCCTTCGGGTCAGTTGAGGGAGTGCTCCTTTGGGTCAGTTGAGGGAGTGCTCCTTCAGGTCAGTTCAGGGAGTGCTCCTTCAGGTCAGTTCAGGGAGTGCTCCTTCAGGTCAGTTCAGGGAGTGCTCCTTCAGGTCAGTTCAGGGAGCGGCAGTTTTCAAAATATGAGCCTGTCCATAGACCTGTGGCAAGTAGATTTCGTGACCCGTAGTTTTAAATTTGTACGGGTCCTTGTAGCCTGCAATAAATCTATGTGTCAGTTTATTTTGTCACAATAAGCTGCATGAGGGCATGTCGAAGTTAGTCAGGGCCTGCGGCTTCTAAAGTCTGTGGCAGCCTGGCAATTTATTTTACTTCTAACACTAGTGACTGAGTCCTGCTGATCTAGGACAGGCGGGTGAGTGAGTGAGTGAGTGAGTGAGTGAGTGAGTGAGTTAAGCTGCTTCAGGCCAGGTGGGTGAGATTTGCAAGATAATTATTCCCCAAGGCTTGATGTGTCACAATAGTGTGTCCCACTGTGTGAGCATCTTAGCGCGAGGTCACTGTTAGTGACGCTGTTTCTACACACTTGACATTCTGTGTGATGATGTTGTGTCGATGTACGTTGTTTGCTAATCAAGGCAAGTTGTTTGTTGTCCAGGAGACCGGGCAGAAGCTAGTTGCCGGGTGTGGTGACAACAACGTGCATGTGTGGGACATGGAGTCCGGGAATCTAGAGGTACACTGTTGGAGACCGAGGACAAAAACTGTTTCCTCACAACATATTATACTTACAACATATTCCTTATGATTTCTAAACATTGTAGATATCACTTGATCTGACAAAGCGATATCTCCTGTGGGAGCCAGTTTGGGATGATAAATTGTGATACAAGTATCTGTATGGCGATATATTGGGAGGTATCTGTATTGTTAATATTGTGATACAAGTATCTGTATGGCAATATATTGGGAGGTATCTGAATTGTGAATATTGTGATACAAGTATCTGTATGGCGATATATTGGGAGGTATCTGTATTGTTAATATTGTGATATCCCATTTTCTACGTACTAAAGTGATTATTATTCAGCATTAGTTCACAACCATTTTCTAGTCATGGAGGTAACAGCGTGAGAGAAAAATCATTGGTGACCGAACTTCTTTGTAGATTTTAGGTTAAACAATACTTGTTATTTTACCCAAAATACCAGAACACAGAAAAAATATTGCAATATGTATTGTTTGAAAAGTGTATTGTAGTATACAATATGGCATGAAGTCTTAGAATTAATGTAACTAGTTTGATAGTAAAACCCTTAACCATATATTGTGGTGTATAATTCGTACTTAAGTATGCGTCTCCCTATTCGGAGGCACAGGTTTCAGGGGACATGCCATCTTTTGTGCAATGCTCCATCAAAATGATGGCAGGAGGGTTAGTCAGGTAGCCTAGTGGTTAAAGCATTCGCTCATCACGCCAAAGACCCGGGTTCGATTCCCGACATGGGTACAATCTGTGAAGCCCATTTCTGGTGTCCCCACCCTGATATTGCTGAAATATTGCTAAAAGCGGCGTAAATCCATACTCATTCAAGTAGGTAGGAGCTAACAGAAATGTCATATAATTTTTTTAAGAACGTGGACTACTTTTTCTACATTTTGTGTTGCAGCAAACTCTGGGCGGCCATGAGGACTATGTCCATCGTGTCTGTCTGAAGAACGAGGGGCGGGAATGTCTGTCTGCATCGGAGGATGGAACTGTTAGAATGTGGGGTAGGAATGTCGGCAAATAGATTTCAGAAATATGTATGACTCTTGAGCATAGACACATTGAATAATGAATCAGTTTAGTTTTTCTCACTACTCGTGATTGTGTATCAATTGTGTGACAATTGTGTGACCAGATAAACAATTGTTTACATTCCACCTGGGAAAGGGCCTCCCTGCATAAATGTATCATTCCTTGATAAGTAAAATACTGGAATACAGTATTTGGCTACAGTTGGACTTGGAATATTTTAGGATTTTTTTATATATTTTAAAAAAAAAATGGAAATAAAAATGAAACGTGCAGCGGTGCCTGAGAACCAAGACTATTATTTTTTCTAGCCTTATATTGCGCATATTTCCACACCATTTAGCTTAGGGGCATGCTCAAAGCGCTATTATTACCCCGCTCACTGGAGCAATGTGCACTCAAGAATCATTCTCAGCTAATTGCCAAAGAAGATGCCAAATGTGTTACACATGCTTCAGTGTGGGGCAGGACTGAAGCCCTAGAAACTCTCAGCAGCCAAGCTGCCGAAACACGGTCACCCATCCAAGGACTCTCACTTGATTTGTGACCTGTGCACTGTGCAGGGGACCACAGGCCACCACATGTGCATTTTATTGTCATGTTTGAATGCCTTCAAAGAGGTCTGTCTCAGTTCTTGAATCCAGAATAGTTGGAGAATCTGGCAGGAATTTGGTGTTTACATACTTGGCAAGTAGATCAGACACAAGTCAAGTCAAGAAGGCCTCTAATCGTCCTTGTGTCACCTTCATGGAAACTTTCTCATCCCGAAAGTTCTCAAACGAGCAAGCCAGCAATGTTTGTACACAACCAGGGGCAGATAACTCTGATGCGGTTGCGACACTCAACATTTTACTGGCACTTCAATATTTTCTACCCCTGATAATTACTTCAAATGTATTTACTCATTTTCTGCAGTTTCTACAACCAGGAATATTACTTAAACATATCAAGGAGGTAGAACACTGTTCACTGTTTAGATACAGCAGTAGACATCATTGACTGAAAACCAATGGTTTATTATTTATTTTTGGTGGAAGACCATGGTGGCATCTAGGTACTGTGCAGAATTGTAGCCAAATGGGGATTTGAACATCACCAATCTCATTAAAATCAGACCTCAGTTCTCACTACCGCAAAACAAAGATCTGAGGACATCCCATTAGGGGTCACGTCAGAACGACCTTTCATCCGACCAATCAGAGCATCGCTTACCAGATTATGAAAGTGACAGTCGGAATGTGATTTCTAATCATGCAACCTCAAAAGCTTTAACTCCGAACAATAGTTACGGGTTTAACAACTGAATCCATACAATCTAGACCATCTATTAGCCATTCCAGAATGTTCTTTTTTTTAGGTTTTTAAATTTGTAATTGAGAATTTGTCAAAATATGTTTCGAAGTGTAGTCGCCAATTTGAAATTAGTGCCGTAAAGCACGAGAAAGCTGCCTTCTGATTGGTCATTCCATTGGTCAGTCAAAGTTTGCGCAAGGTCGGTCTGACGTGACCCGTAATGGGCTGTCCTCAGATCTTTGTTTAGCGGTAGCGAGAACTAAGATCTGATTTTAATGAGATTGGAACATCACTTAAGCAGATACACTTTGATGGAACTGTAATGCTGATTAATGCAGTGTTAACCATTTTAACCCAACTCACTGACTATTTCTTCACAAATAAATATCCAAAGCATACCAGTAATATTTTATCGTTGACGGGCATGGAAAAATATATATGAACATTGATGCCCAATAAAAAACTGAGAATTTTCTGTGTCATAAAACAACACTGATGATTCACAAACATTTATTTTTTTATTTCACATCCAGACCTGAGATCGCCCGGAGAGTCCGTTCACATACTGGAACCTTCCAAGCATGAGGTGAGGAGGTCTTGCATGTTGCCATGGTTACATGATTGTAGCCGTGTAGTAAGCCAGAGAAGTACAGGTGGATGTGTGACTGTTCACTGACTGTTGCCATGGTTATATGCTGTAGATGTGTTGTCATCCAGAGATGGGAAGGTTACTGTTACCATGGTTACACGGAGATATGTAGTCGACTGGAGATGGGCTAGTTGTGGGAATCTGGTCACTGACTGTTACCATGGTTACATGTTGTTGTTGTGAAGTTGGCCGGAAATGGACAGATGGATGTATGATTCTGGTCACTGACTGTTACCATGGTTACATGTTGTAGATGTGTAGTCAGCCGGAAATGGACAGATGGATGTATGACTTTGGTCACTGACTGTTACCATGGTTACTTGTTGTAGTTGTGAAGTCGGCCGGAAATGGACAGATGGATGTATGATTCTGGTCACTGACTGTTACCATGGTTACATGTTGTAGATGTGTAGTCAGCCGGAAATGGACAGATGGATGTATGACTTTGGTCACTGACTGTTACCATGGTTACATGTTGTAGATGTGTGGTCGGCCAGAGATGGGCAGATGGCTGGGCTGTGTGACGTTAGACTCCGGGGAAGACTGGATGGTAAGTTTCCATGACAATGTCAAGTACATCACCGGTGACACATATCTTGTACTGAAGCTTTTCAAGTGGATGTCCTCAACTTTGTTGTTGCCGAAAATGGAGTACAACCATACTCATTAATTATTCCATTTGGGACCGCCTCCGTTGTCTAGTGGTGGAACGTCCGGGGTTAGATCATACCAAAAGAAGTTAAAAGATGGTACTTGTTGTTACCATGTCTGGCGCCTGACATTAAGGGGCTAAAACAAGGACTGGTCGGCTCGGAGTTATTATACTGTGTCTGAGTGGTGTATTCAAGTTAAATTGCGGCATAGTATCTCAGTGGGCTAGAACTATAAATCGGCATCAGTCCGGACTAATACAAGCAGACACACACATGTATGTACGTCGCGATAAAAGTATAATAATCTTGGATGCCATTTCATCTCACCTATTACACTGGGACTTAAGAGTTGTTTGCTTGTTTTTTTCCACACTCTTTCTTTGTCATAAGATTGGTTCATGAAAGACACTGTATAGCGGGGACACAGGTGGCCCAGTCGTCTAAGGTGGTGCTATTTGCTGTGCAGAGTTATGTCCCTTTGTCATGCCCCAAACCAATGATTGTGGGTTTGAATCCAAGTTTGCCCTTGTGGGTTTCACCAAAGTGATTAACATCCGAGACTTGCATTACTTCAGGATTTTTTCCCACATGAAGCTGACACGCCATGATATAACTGGAATAATGTTGAAAAGCCTCATTAAGAGGATCTCACTGGTCACATGAACAGGTTTCCCCATCACGTCACACACGTTTGTTTGTTTGTTTGTTGTTTAACGCTACACTCAGCAACATTCCAGCTATATGACGGCAGTATGTAAATAATCAAGTCTGGCCAGGACAATCCAGTGATTGACATCATGAGCAGCGATCCACGCAATTGGGATACAGTGACATGTATCAAGCAAGTCAGCAAGCCTGACCACCCGATCCCCTCAGTCGCCTCTTACACTAAGCATAGTCGCCTTTTAGGCAAACATGGGTTGCTGAAGACCTATTCTACCCCGGACCTTCACAGGCCCCACACACATGTAGTGATTCAGACAGAGAGGGGGAGATGTGGCCTGTTTTAATCGTAGGTTTGCTATCAATTTTGTTTGTCATCATCGTGACCAGTGGGTGTTTCGTAGATAAATGTTTCATGTTTCGTTTTTTTAACCTTCCTAATTCTGGCATTGTCTCCAGGTGTGTGGCGGTGGGCCGAAGTTGGCGATGTGGCACATGAGATCTCTCCAGCCAACCACAACGTTCAACACACCGGGCGTCTGTCAGACATTTGCCCGATTTCACGATGACACAGTAAGATAACATTCCATCTAGTCATAGTTGGATTGAATACAAGTTATACATCATTGTGAACACTGACCAGTGGCAGATCCGGAGAGGGGTGGGGGCGTGGGAGGGGGTCATTGAGTATGAACACCCTTTCAGAAAACATGGCTTCTTTTTTAGTGAAGTACTGTCTACTTTACTGAGGGTAAAAATTACTTTCCCTCCCAGTCCCACTAAAACCAGGCTTGGGCAGACTGCACAAATGATTGCCAATAGTTTAAATGTCCACGTGAGAACCATCTACAGATTACAGCAATGATATCAGGTCACAAACAGCATTCCATGATTTTCATGGAAAGCATTTGGTACCATTGTCATTTATTAAGCTGCTGTCACTTTTTGGCCGTTAACATTAAATTTGGATACAGAGTGATGCACCCCCACAAAAAGTCTTTGTTATTTCAAAGGGAATTTGTCATAAACTATTTTCATGAAGTGATGTTTCATTTGCAGCTCAGTGTATAATTGTTTCACCTTTATATTTGACCATTCTCTTAAATTCTTTCAAAATACATATTTCTCCTCTGAAATTACCAGAGTTGGACTTTGTCAAGTATGTTTCTTTTATGGTGACATCATATCTTGTTCACTTTGTTAGATTTTTGTGTCCGTTAATAGTATTTATGCTGGTTGGTTGGTTTTTTGTTTAACGCCGCACTCAGCAATATTCCAACTATATGACGGCGGTTTGTAAATAATCAAATCAGGACCAGACAAACCAGTGACTGACATCATGAGCATTGATCCATGCAATTGGGATACAATGACATGCATCAACCAAGTCAGCAAGCCTAACCACCCATTCCCACCCATTAGTCGCCTCTTACGACAAGCATAGTCGCCTTTTTACGGCAAGCATTGGTTGCTGAAGGATGCCATGGCACTAAAATATCCTACTTGTGGGAGAGTTTTTTTTAGTTTACCTTTAACATGTTAAGCTGACATTCTGGTTCCAGCTGATATCGGGAGGGACTGAGCCGATGGTGAACCACTGGTTCCTGAACGGGGAGCTGAAACAGGGGGTGCCGTGTACGCCCACCAGCGTCTTCAACGTCAACATCAACCTCAACTCCGACAAGTACAAGGTGAGGCAGGATCAGGCATTATATCACAGGCTTAACATGACCTTCAAAAGCCTTGGGGTCGGGTAGCCTAGTGGTTTAAGTGTTCGCTCGTCACGCCGAAGACCCAGGTTTGATTCCTGATATGGGTACAATGTGTGAAGCCCATTTCTGGTGTCCCCCGCCATGATATTGCTGGAATACTGCTAAAAGCGGCGTAAAACCATACTCATTCACTCACTCAAAAGCCTTGGATTCAGAGTAACTCGCACCTAATATGATCATATTCAGACAGAGTTATCCCCCTTCTTACATAATGTTTCTCTGTATCATATGTATGGTTCACACGACTTTAAATATGGCAGTCTGAATTCGAAACTTTCGGTAAAAAAAGATGGCAACCATTGTATTCTGCTCTTTTAATTTATTTATTACATTTGTCGTTACTCTAATGACGTAATAATGCTTGATGATTTTTCAGCAACTCAGTGAATAAATAGTGTTAAAACATTGGTGTGTGTACTCAGATGTTTAGGTCTTGTAGTTGATCATTGCTCCAGGCGTGTTGCACCGGGTCTAACTGTTGGTGTGTTGCACCGGGTCTAACTGCTGGCTTGTTGCACCAGGTCTAACTGCTGGCTTGTTGCACCAGGTCTAACTGCTTGTGTGGTGCACCGGGTCTAACTGCTGGCTTGTTGCACCAGGTCTAACTGCTGGCTTCTTGCACCAGGTCTAACTGTTGGTGTGTTGCACCAGGTCTAACTGCTGGCTTGTTGCACCAGGTCTAACTGCTGGCTTGTTGCACCAGGTCTAACTGCTTGTGTGGTGCACCGGGTCTAACTGCTGGCTTGTTGCACCAGGTCTAACTGCTGGCTTCTTGCACCAGGTCTAACTGTTGGTGTGTTGCACCAGGTCTAACTGCTGGCTTGTTGCACCAGGTCTAACTGCTGGCTTGTTGCACCAGGTCTAACTGCTTGTGTGGTGCACCGGGTCTAACTGCTGGCATGTTGCACAAGGTCTAACTGCTGGCTTGTTGCACCAGGTCTAACTGTTGGTGTGTTGCACCAGGTCTAACTGCTGGCTTGTTGCACCAGGTCTAACTGCTGGCGTGTTGCACAAGGTCTAACTGCTGGCATGTTGCACAAGGTCTAACTGCTGGCTTGTTGCACCAGGTCTAACTGTTGGTGTGTTGCACCAGGTCTAACTGCTGGCGTGTTGCACCAGGTTTAACTGCTGGCTTGTTGCACCAGGTCTAATTGCTGGTGTGTTGCACCAGGTCTGTCTGCTGGCGTGTTTACCGCCCTCCTCCCTTGTTTCCAGGTGCTGAGTGTTGGAGGAAGCAGTGCAATGATAGACGTCTGCACCAACTTTGGCTACAAAGCTTTCTCTCTCAAGTTCAAGACATCATAGACAACATGAACAGGATATTACCAATATATTCATCCAATGTCATAAGAGGCACAAGTCTATTCCCATAACTTTTAACATTATCCACCACTATCGTGATAGTGATCAAGTACTCTGACAAGACAAATATACTGTATTCTACGTAATAAGCGCCCACAGCGATATTTGCTAATATATTGGCTAGTGAACAATCCCAATTAGCACCCCTTCTGATTAATTAATGATTACACAAGACTTATTTATTCGCATATAATACGCAGTCGTGTGTTATATGCACCCTTTATTATGGGCAATTAAATTCTGGAAAAATTTATCTGTTGTATATAAACATTTCAGGCTGTCAGCATAAACAACGAAATTTATCTTTCAAATCTTTTTTTTTCACCAAAATAATATTCTAATAAGAGTCCTCTATTTCTAATTTTGAGAGCGTCGTGGGCGCTTATTACATTGAATACGGTACTTAAAATATTTACTGTTTATGTGAAAAGTTCATATTGTTAGCTGAAAATACTGAGTTTGGCAGCCATGATGAAAGGTAGACATAATGATAAACCTGAAGCCATCAGCAGTGAATCGGGAGTCTGTCAGCACTGTTCGTGGATTTTGCAACAGTGAAAATGCATTAGTTTAATAAGCTGATCAGCCTAAGCTGAAATACTGTTCAAGGACGCATTAAGCTAGACCCACTGCCTTATCCATGTAAATTTTTGTTGTATACATTATGAATCATTTATGTGATCATAATTTCATTTTCTTGTTTCACATTTAACTGAGACCTTCTATATATTATTTGATTGGCCCAAAGAACCCTGAAATTAGATGGAAAAATTACTTAACCATACAAATTGGTCCAACTACGTTCTACAATTAGCTAAATAAAAAAACTGTTCGTAAGAAATGTTTCGGTATCGTTTCATAATATTACTTTCATGATGGTGACCTATGAGTTTGTTGAAATTATTTTGTTTTTTCCTCCCACCACCAACTTATAAAAAATAAAAGTGAAGGTAGTAAATCATTCGTGATTCATGTTGTGATGTTTTTCTTTTACATGCTTACTGTACACAAACCACAGACAATCTGTTGAGAATTCTCATATTTAATTGCAAATAAAGCTGCAATATAACATGACAATGATGACAGATATGTTTGACAATGTACAGAATGGAACAACCGTACCCACAAGGACCACCTACCACATGACAAGTCTCACCCTGCATGCCCACACCACCAGATTGTACATGCCCGCACAATCAATCCTGTGTCATTTCCAGCTCGGAACCCTTCCTGAATCACAATTCCTTGAGATCTGATATCATGTGGTAGACGATTCCCGCAGGAATCACTCCATGTGGAGAGGAAAGTCTACATGTGTGGCGTTACATCATTAACAAATCAACATTGATAAAACAAAAGATAAAATCATATTAAAATCACAATACAAAACACTATAAGTAATGTTAAATAATATCGACCACAATATACTTCAAAGATATACACAGGTGATAAAATCAATGTAAAACACACATTTCACACACTGCTCACTTGACTCCACAGAACAGCTCAAACCTGAACATAAGCAGAGTCTACAGAAGTGCATTCAATGTACTCACTCCTGAATATTTATTTTCTATGCTGTCAATGCAAATCTTCAACAAATTCCTTTACTCCCCTTACATAAACCGTTTTGATTTTGTGCCCTTTGGTTAACCCTTCCAAGACCCTCTGTTAACCCTTCCAAGACCCTCTGTTGACCCTTCCAAGACCCTGTTAACCCTTCCAAAGACCCTCTGTTGACCTTTCCAAGACCCTCTGTTGACCCTTCCAAGACCCTCTGTTGACCCTTGTAAGACCAACCCTGTTAACCCTTGTAAGACCAACCCTGTTAACCCTTGTAAGACCAACCCTCTGTTAACCCTTGTAAGACCAACCCTCTGTTAACCCTTGTAAGATCCAATTCATGGAATGTTAAATTCCCACTTAGTGGTTTTCAAACCCATTCTGAGTTTAACATGGATTAAAGATGTAGAAAAATATCAATATCTGATTTTATGAATCCTGAAACAATGAACAGGTTACTACTATATAAGCATTATAAACAAAACATGAACTAACAATTGTGTTTTGTCCCACCCCTTATATTTTTAAACCCCCACAAATCAATATTCTGAGCCCCAGGAGCACTAAAAATAGGTAAGTTATGGTACTTTACAAAAAATGCATCCCAGGCAGGCATCGTCAGGTGTGTGAGACCAGTTTATAGTTCTGATGAAACAACATAAACATCAGTGCATGGAACAACGTATCTGCACAAAGTTTTCTACATCATTAATTACAATTGTGACCAACCAAGAGATAAGGGACCTTATGGGTGAAAAATCACATTGTGACTTAGCATAACTTTAGCATCTTTGGAACACAAAAATACAATTCACAAGCTTCAATTCATATTTATACCAGAGAAACACATCACACATATCGATCTTCAGTGAAGTAAGTTTATGTCCAATGTCTTTACGACGTCATAGCACAATTGTATCCGAGCACCCATAAGGTCTCTTTTTCTCCGGCTGGGTCACAAATATTACCATCCTGCAGAAACAAGACGTTCACTTGACCAGCATATTGTGACATACATAACAAAGTGGCACTGGTACATGAGAGGCGACCTTGCAGACCAACGCAGCTGGAGGAGATGGGAGGAAAACTTCAGATGACTATCCTTCCTTGTGCAATGGGTCAGTGGCCAGTGCAGGTGTGTGATGGACGGACGACTGTAATACGATGGTGCATACGAGTGGCTTGAACCCAGCTACTTCATATCCAACTTGAATACTAGGAAAGTGTGTACCAATTCACTTGATGTGTAAAGCTTTGTCATTGAGACTTAAAACTAAATACCCTTTTGATATTGCTGTAGACTGATCCCAATCTCATGTTACAAAAAGAGACCTTAGCGTTAAGAAGATCGTTACTCCCATACTTACATTATCTTACAGTGGTAGTGCATAGATCACTGTAGAACAGGCCCGGATCTCTTACTCTCTTACTCCGACATGACACCTCCATAGGAGCTCTCAGAAAAGAATATGATCAAGAGAAATCCAAATGCAAAAAAATAATATTCTACTCAAAAGATGTTAAAGAACATCCAATTCTTTCAAATGGCTACAGCTAATCTCTCATGCCATGACAGATTAACTTAATAGTAACATGTAAGAACTGTGTGTTCCTTAACTTCTTTTGAGTAGTATATAATGTCACAGATGTTTTAACCATCCTATTGTTTGTGGGCTTCATGGCATCTACACCTAAACGGTAACTAGGGAGGGTATATTTGTGTGTCTGTGACAGTTTACTTTTGCAGAGAATTAAACTTCAAAATCAGGAAAGGAAATGAAGACGAATTGATTTAGAAAGCTGACATCCGATTGGCTCAAGAAGTTTCACAAGCTTCATTTTGATTGGGCGGTCCAAGTTCGCTCAGGGTGTTTCCGATATGACTTTTTATGGAGGTGTTCTCAGATCGGATCGTATCGGAATAAAAGATCTGATTTTAATGAGATTGGAATGACCCAGACAAGGTTCCATAAAGTCAGATAAGCTTTTGAACTACTGACAATCTTGTTTTGAAATATAGGAATTGATAGTCACAGTTTATATGTTTTATGGAACCAATATATGATCAATCAGATGGTCTAGAACTAGAAGGCCAACTACAATGCTGTGTGCAAGTCAGTTAACTTCAAGGATCCAGTGTTGCATGAGGCTCATCTAGGGGTGGAACACCTATGTCCAGTGTTGGGGAATATGTGACCTTGTCAGAGGAATGCAAGTGTACAGTTTCAAGCTGCTTTCAGCAACATGACAGTTGTACAAAGTGGAACACACCAAAGACACCCTCTGTGTGAAAAGCAAACACCCTAATCACTAGACTGACCAACCAACCTGGTCAAAGAATGAAGTAAAGGGAAATGTGTTTGGTCCCTATGAGGATGAGAAATAAGTGAGTTGAGTTTGACAGAATTTCTGCCAATTTCTGGCTTGTCTGATTAATGTGGGAGGTAATCCCAAAGTGACGCAGGTCAAAGACATTTAGCACTTTGGCAAAACTATGGGTATGGTGATCCAATATGATCAGGGCAAATCTAAGATTGACCTCGTGATCCTGAGAGATCCTGCCCTTGTGACCACCAGGTGCCCCATATCCCCACGATGAATAAGTCACGAAATAATGATACAGTGAGTGAGTTTGGTTTAACGCCGCTTTTAACAGTATTCCAGTTGTATCGCAGCGTGTCAGCTTAACATGGGAGGAAAGCCCGAAGTGATGCAGGTCTCAGATGTTTACCACTTTGGTGGAACCCACGAGCACGGGTATGGTGCTGACAAACCTAGAAACATAATCGGGGCAAACTGGGATTTGAACCCACAATCCTAGGTTTCTGGCGTGTCCAGGGGATGCATCGCAGCACCTTAGCCGACTGGGCCACCCGTGCCCCCAATGATACAGTGAATGAGGAGACACAAAAACAAAAGCTGAGAAACTTTCATTTCAAATACCGTATTCGACGTAATAAGCACCCAGGGCGCTCTCAAAATTAGAAATAGGGGGCTCTTATCAGAATATTATTTTGGTGAAAAAAAACAGTTGAAAGATAAATTTTGTGGTTTATGCTGACAGCCTGAAATGTGTATGTACGACAGATATATTTTTCCAGAAATTATTTTTCAATAATTAAGGGTGCATATGATAAAACACACGAGTGTGTATTATACGCTAATAAATAAGTCTTGTGTACATTGATCAATCGGAAGGGTGCTTATTGGTTTTTTCTCTAGCCAATATATTAGCAAATGTCGCCGTGGGCGCTTATTAGAGCGGGGCGCTTATTACGATTGAATACGGTAGATCTGTATTTGAGTGAGCGAGCTGGTATTCATCATTATCTGCCCTTTCGTGGATGCTGACTTGTGGTTTCAAAATGATGGCCCATGAGCTGCATCTCCACTTAAAACAGGTCGGTCACCCATTCCAGTACTGTCCATACTTGCCCAATTGTGTTCACCTGACCCCAATTTGGGGGGATGAAAACGGGACACATGCGGAGCCAGAACAACCCAATGATTCTGCCATGACACAAACCTGCTGTATCTATATGTAAAGCAAGTGAAATATGTCTTGGGTGGTATGTTTGATGTTTCCTGGATGTTGTAATATCCAAGTTTTAGATTGGAATAAAAACTACCACAATTTTTTTTAAAAATGAAAGAAAAGCAGACATGTGCCACTCACCAGATTATTAGAATGTGATTCAATTTAGTCATTTAAAATGTGATAGTCATAGGGTACATGAGCACAACATTTGATTAAAATGGTGTGGTGGAAATTCAATTACCGTATTCAACGTAATAAGCGCTCAGGGTGCTCTCAAAATTAGAAATAGGGGCTCATATTAGAATATAATATTGGTGAAAGAGTCGAAAGACCGTAAATTTTATGGTTTCTGCTGAAATGTGCAAAAGAAAAGCCTGTGTGTATTATTCACAACAGATATATTTTTTTCAGAATTTAATTGCCCGTAAATAAGGGTGCGTATAACACACGAGTGCGTATTATACACGAATAAATGTACACGAATTGTGTACATTGATCAGCCGGAAGGGTGCTAATTGGGATTGTTCACTAGCCTAAATATTGGCAAATATCGCCCTGGGCGCTTATTAGAGCGGGACGCTCATTACGTGGAATACGGTAATTCTAAACATACACAAAGGGAAATGTGGGCTGTGCCACGCGGCATCAACCACAACCATGAGCAACATCAGGTGAGTGTAGTCCAACAACAGAGGGCAAGGACAATTTACTCACGTCCAAAATACCAATGTCAGCAAATTCAGGGTTTTTTGGTCTTTCTGGACACAAATAAGAATCCACTGCTTGTCTTAAGATCTGACGCCTATCTGAAACATCTTCTGTCATTTTGACAGACGCATTCATCAATAATATAAACCCTTCCATGCCGGAAGAGATGTTTACTACTTGGAGGATTCCCGCATGGTCACAGACTTCAGGAACAAATGTTACTTGTTCTGCACAACCGTGTCCACTATCATGCAGCTATCCATCTCGACATGCTTCTCCTAGATACACGAAGTGCGTATTTCTAGGAAACAATTCCCCACTGGAGCAAATTAATTGCTTTGTGTGTAGGATAAAGGCACAATTTGTCATTCACATCTGGAGTGAAACTGAAATCAAGCTGTACAATAATTCTGTAACTGAATTCACAAATGATCAAGAACTAGAACTTCCTTACAGTTTAGGGACCGGTCATTAGGGGGTCAAAAACATGACAGTCTCTGAGGGAGGGTCCTAAAAAATTATAACCGTTTGGGGAGGGTCATGAAAAAATGGGCATTCTATGATGATGCTTTTGCATTGTCTTTTCAGCAGGGTCATGAAAAAATGTACAAGGACATGGGGCGAGTCATCCACAAATATGACAAGCTTTGGGGGAGGGTAATTATTTTCAGTACCTCAGTGCATCAAAAACCTCTGACCACCCAATAATTAATGACCAGTCCCTCAACTAAGTGAAACAATTCCCAACTAACAAGCAAGGCACAGCAACATCTCTAGGTAGGAAATAATAAATGAACTGCTTTGTCCACAACATAATTCTGCTACAACAAACTGAGTCAAAAAAGCAAGTATCTCAGTCTCATTTGTCGTACTTCGTATGACCTCAACTTGATAAACATATTTAGTAGATTCAAACTTAATATTTTCTTTGTAATCAGATGAAAAACAGTTTGACTTCATCAAATCTTGGCACTGACACTGTGACACTACCATAAACTGAATTCGAAATCTTTTCCAATCAAGGTCAAGTTTTGATTTTATAACCGACTCATTGCACCTTAAACTTGAGCAAACTTAAAAGCACCTAAGATCTGTGCAAGACTATTCGAAACAAGCGCTGTGAACTTTCAGTCCTAATATTATGCACGGTCTTCACTACAATGGCTTTTAACAATCATAACCATAAGTATGATAATCATAACACTGAGACCAGTGCTGCACCTCGTATAACCATGGCAGTAATACGATAGACCGCAAACACATGAACCTTGGTGAGAAAATCCATGTGGCGATACAGATATAATCAGTGCAGACACCAGGACAGTTTTGTTAATGTTCAATACCTCAAACTTCAAAAAAACATTCCAAAAAGAATTTAACAGCTTGGATATTTTTAAACTCTATTCAAAACTGTTGAGCCAACAGAACTATGATGAATGCATTTATCATCGTAGCATCCATGATTTGTACACTCCTGAGAATAGATGTTCAAAATGGTTGACGATTGTCTCACAGCCTGGGAATCTAGCAACCAGATGGTGGTATGAACTGTCGTTTACTTTTTCATCCAACCGACAGAAATCAAGGGGAGACAACTACTGCACTCAGTACATACTGACTTTTAAAATATCCAAATAACTACATATCAACTTTATAATAAATCATTCAATTTCATTTGAACACTACTTACAAGAAGACAATTTCTGACAGCTCGGAGCGTGTCATTCTTTACAGCGTTATGTAAGTCCAGGCACAGCTGAACCACATTCATCACAACAGAATAATGAAACTGTCCAACACTTGAACTGAAAGTTTCTAATTCCTGGAATCATTTCAATACAATGCAATCAAGAAACAAACACATCAAATAAACGTGAAAGGAATCAAGGATTTCAGACTTGACATCTATGCAGAGGACAGATGACAACGCAATGATGCAGAAACGATTCACAAATGCACTGCACTATTAAACCAATATGATATAATACACTTTATGAATTTCACAAACTGTTTCACTATCTGCACATTCACTGGCCTACAGAATGACATAGTCATAGTCATAATCATAATCATAATCATAGTCCTGGGTTACCCCGTTGGCCAAAGTGACTCCCAAAATTCCCATACTTCAACATAGTCTAGACTGATATTTAGACCCAGGTTTCTTATTTTAAAATATATGTCTGCAAAATAAACAAGATAAAATCCATATGGAGCCAAGAACAATCCTTAATTTCAGCCTAGAGCTGAGGCAATCTAGACCTGCCAAATCATTCTAGACTTGAGTTTCAATTTATTCCCTAGGGTCTGGGAGACAGTGAGTGAGTATGGTTTTACGCCGCTTTGAGTGGGGAATACAGGGAAATGGGCTTCACACATTGTAACCATGTCGGGAACAGAACCCGGGTCTTTAGCATGACAAGCTGATGCTTTAACCACTAGGCTACCAAACCACCCCTCTGGGAGACAGACTAAGTATGGACTTACAACAGTCGTAGGGCTGATCCTTGTCACGCCCAAGACCTGGGTTCAGTTCCCGACATGTGTGAAGCACATTTCTGGTGTCCCTCGCCATGACATTGCTTGACTATTGCTAAAAGCAGCAAACAACCTCATCACTCACAGTGCTGATCACTATGAGCTAGCGGTGTTGTCACAAAACAACATGTAGAAAGTCATTTTAGTTTAACTGTATTATATCAAATTAGATTAAAGATACAGATTTTTACCTGACCCTCTGATCATGATACAGATTGTATCTTGAACAAATTCTTGTGATATGTATCGGATTGTGTCCTTGGTGAATCGCTAGCAATGAGTAAGAAGAACGAACCTGAACAAGACACAAAACAAACCCTGACAGGAATGGAATGTGAACGAGTTGGGGGCAATGTCACAAACCTCCCCCGCAGTCATGTGAACGAGTTGGGGGCAATGTCACAAACCAGTCCCTACATAGAGAAGAGTGTTTTCGAAGTCAGCAACCATGACTCATACAGTGAAATGATTATTAGAGTATTGTCTACAGATCTACTGCTGTGGATGAAGATTAATGTGGATCGAAAGCCTGAATTGATGCAGGTCTCAGACATTTACCACTTAGGTGAAACCCACAGGTATTGGGCTGACAAAGCTAGAAACATAATTGGAACCGCAATTCGAATCTATTTTTAGAAGTGAAGGCAGTGAGATATTATTGATATTTATAACAACGAAAATAGGAAAAACTTTCAAAATGGAGTAGATTCTACAGACATCTTAACATTTTGTGTTCAAGTACTGGGTTTATTTACTGTTTCTATGCAACAACTTGTTGTTAAAGATACCAAAAGATGTATTTCTTCTAACAATGTTACATTATATTTATCACCTTACACATCAAGTCAGATTCTGATTGGCCAAGACCCATTCTATTATTTTAAATGTACCGTAACATGTAAGGTATATTTCTTATGTCCCTCCTAGTACTGCGTAACAGTTAACATTACATTTGCATCATACAAGCTTCACATTTGTATCCCTAACTCAAGATGACGCCATTATCTAGATATGTATGATTTTTTCCGAATGATATAGATGTTGGGGGAATAACTGTTTGTTACCTGCGTCTGTGAAAAATGCCTAACTGGGGTTTTCTTACCAATCCGGAGCATGCATGCATGAGACATATCTGCAATATAATTACCGTATTTAATGTAATATGCACCCAGGGCGCTCTCAAAATTAGAAATAGGGGACTCTTATTAGAATATTATTTTGGTGAAAAAAATGAGTTGAAAGATAAATTTCGTGGTTAATGCTGACAGTCTGAAATGTTTATATACAACAGATATATTTTTCCAGAATTTAGTTGCCCATAATTAAGGGTGCATATAACACATGAGTGCGTATTATACGCGAATAAATAAGTCTTTTGTACATTGATCAATCAGAAGGGGTGCTAATTGGGATTGTTCACTAGCCAATATAGTAGCAAATATCGCTATGGGCGCTTATTAGAGCGGGACGCTTATTACGTGGAATACGGTAGGTGTTCGGTATGATCTATGATCTGCAACTTCTGTTCTGCAAGCAGGGAGAGTTCTGTGACAAGGCCCCTGTGTGGAGACAGTAATACTGAGATATAGGACAGCAAATAGAATGCATGCAATCACAAATGTACAACACGGTGCCAATAAATACTCACATTTGGAGACTACTGTCACTCAAAAATAACCATCACAAAATAAAATCTATCATATCCCCAACCTCTGGTGAAAATAACCACATTAAACGAAGAATTAAATTATCCAGCGAATATTTCACATTTGTTCAGATCAACGGAATTAAATAACCGATGTCAGTTGCTAGGGTACATGTAACACAACTTGTTATACATAGTATCAAGTATATCAGGATGGTTTTAGATGAGATCAGAGAATAGCTGTCACAAGGATAGTGAGGCATGCAAGGCCAGGCTTTATTTTAAACTAGGTTTACAAATCTGCCAAATCCCCAAAATTGAAATTTGAAAGAAGAAAAAATGAAAAGCAGTGTTTTTTATTTCGTCAGCCATAAATAAGTACAATGTTAAAACTTAAGTCATTTACAGTCGCTATCAAGAAAACAAGTTATTCAAAAGACTATGATTAAAACCAATTGACAATTTATCTTAAAAACTTAAAAACACAAAGAATAATGACGAATCGTGGCAGGAAAGAAAAAAATATGTATATTATAAACATAAATATTCTACCTACCACCCTAAATTTTGGGGCCCAAAAAATCTGTAACCCTCCAAAAAATAAATCTGGCTTAAGCATGCTGATATTAATGCATGAAATAAAATTACCGTTTGATAGCAAGAATGGAGAATCAAGGCCCAAATTATTCCCAGTACAATTGTTTAATTCAATAAAACATTTAACATGGAAATGATAACTTGAGCAGGTGATTCCCTTGATAAAAAGTTATCCGGTATCTGTACATGTTATTTTACAATATTCATCACTACAATGATCATGTTCATATTCATTCTCTCCGGACCGAGTCAAATATACATCCAGCTTAAAACCAACAAGTAAAGACAAAGGATTTTCACTCAAACTTTGGTATGAATATTGCTATTTCTGTTTCTACCTGAAAAGATACTTCATGTTAAGCATGAGGTAGGATTTCTGTAAAACTGTGCAACAGATCGGAAACTAAAACAGATGATGAGCTAAAAATATTGTTTTCATACTTTACAATGTGTATAAAAATGATATCAGGAAGATAACACATATCTGAAACCTGTTATCAAAGTTACTGAAGAAACACTGATACCAGTCTCTAGCAAGATAACAAACACAACTTCAACCAAGGTATGTCATATTTCAATTTCAATATTAAATCAAAACTTGGAACTTGCTATCAAAACAAACCAGGCTCAAAATATTTCAATGGTCAGTTTCTTTAAACACGACTTTTTTGCCTTCAATTATTGTACCCTTGGTTGTTCGAGATGTCATATCTCCAGCAGACTTCCCTGTGAAATCAGGCAGGGTTGAGTCTGTCTATCTGTGTCTATAGAAGTATCCCACACTGTCAGTTTATACAGATGTGATGCCATGTGCCGCCGCTAGGCACCGCCGTTGTAGGCGTAGTCCGCTTTATTGTGCATGATCAGCTTCTCCTCCACGAAGTAGAAACTGTCGGAGCGAGTCTCATAAGGGTGGTCAATCATGTCTTGAACTGAAACGGAAAATGGGATGTTTTGAAAAAGAATTGCCAATCTAGGCGGGTCGGTCCTCTGACCTTGAGGTCTTAGGGTATTTGAATTAAGAGACAGTGTCAACTTGACATGAAATTAATAACGGCCCAGTCACTGCATCCAGGAGACCCACACACATCACGCAGCTAACATCGAGGTAAATCTTTTGGTATGAGTAAACTGACGAAGAACCCGCAACTTTCTTGCCTAAGTTTGACTCCTGCACACATATTTAAAATAGTTTAACATTTACCCTGTAGTGTGTTAGTTTGTTTGTTTCTTTGTTGTTGTTTAATCCACACTCAGCAATATTCCAGCTATATGACACAATCTGTCAATAATCGGGCCTGGACCAGACAATCCAGTGATTGACATCATGAGCATCGATCCACGCAATTTGAATGCGATGACATGCATCAACCAAGTCAGCGAGCCTGATGACCTGATCCTGTTAGTCGCCTCTTACAACAAACATAGTCGCCTCTTACGACAAGCATAGTCGCCTCTTACGACAAGCATAGTCGCCTCTTACGGCAAGCATGGGTTGCTGAAGACTTATTCTAACCTGGATCTTAACTGGTCTCCCCTGCAGTGAGTGAGAAGGGTTTAATACCATGTATAGTGAGAAATGATGCACCATTTGGCACTACTTCAGCAATATTCCATGTTGTAACCAAGTGGAAAATTGAACCCAGGTCGAGTGTAAGCTTTTACCACAAGGCTACGCAACTACACAACTTTAGAAAGTAGATGAACTGTATCACAAATAAGTTCACTTACTGCATGTGCTTGTGATTTCTCTGACTTAAGCCATGTCATGGTTGATGTATAGTTTCTCAATAATTTGTTAAATACTTTCAAAATGTCAGATGAATTCCTGGCTCCGAATCAAGTGCAACAACAATGCCATCATTTCGACTTAATCATGTTAATACCAGATAAACAATCAGAGAAAAAGATTTTAACCTTATTTTACATATTTAAGTTAATTCATCTGTTCTACTAAAGGCAAACTAACTTTCTTCTTGGTTGAGAAGGGGGAATTCATATATATGTTCCACCGTGTTCCGGCTGTGTGGGATGCAGAAGCCAAACTCAAAGTCGAAACATTTGAGCATCTTCTCTCTGAAGTAGTGCTTCTCAATCATGCGGAACTTGTTGACTGGCTTGTCTCCAACTACAAACTCCACACTGAAACACAAGAAAACAAACTGTAACCTGACCAAGTCTTGTCATTACACTGATTGTGATGATGTGATTTGAATGAGGAAACACGTAAAAAATCAATGTCAAGATCGATGAACAAGCAACCTGCATGTACGTGTGTCTGCTTGTACTAATGCTGGGTTTATAGTGCTAGTCCACTGAGATACCATGCTATGGTTTAACATGGATACCCCTCTAAGACAGTATATTGACTCTGAACAAACCAGTTTTTTGTTTTAACTCCTTAATGCAGAGCACCAGGCAGGATTAGAAGAAGCACCACCTTTTAACATCTGAAGGTATGACACAGCCGGGGATCAAACCACAGACCTTCCACTCTTCGAGCAGACACATTATCCACTAGACAACAGAGCAGACCAGTTTTGGGTTGTTTTTTATCTCCATAACGCCAAGAGCAAAGCAGGGTAATAAGTGCCACCTTTTATCATCTTAAGATATGACGCAGCCAGGAATCAAACCACAGACGTTCCACACTCCAAGCAGACACACGATCCGCTAGACCATGGAGCCGACCATTTTTTTTGTTCCATCCCCTTAAAGCCTAGTGCCAGGTAGGGTAACAACAAGTGCCACCTTTTAACGTCTTAAGATATCATACAGCCGGGGATCAAACCACCGAATTTCTGCTCTCTGAGCAGACACACTATCCACTAGACCACAGAGGCGGTCCTCGAAACAAATCTATCTAAATGGAGAGTTGACATGGTTACTATTCATGCTATGTACACTCATGTCTTCCCTCCAGCTGATCTAGCTATATCTGCAAGTCAGAATGACCTTGCATGAACTCTGACCGACCAATGGAATGACTGAAAAGAAGTGCACATTAGCAAATCAGAGGGAAGCTTTTTCGTGCTTTATGGCACTAATTTCAAATTGGTGACTACACTTCGAAACATATTTTGACAAATTCTCAATTAAAAATTTGAAACCTGAACAAAAGAACATTCTTGAATGGCTAATAGATGGTCTAGATTATATAGATTCAGTCGTTAAGCCCGTGACTATCGTTCGGAATACCTGTTAAAGTTTTTGAAGTTGCATGATTAGAAACCACATTCCGACTGTCACTTTTATGATCTGGTAAGCGACGCTCTGATTGGTCGGATGAAAGGTCGTTCTGCCATGACCCCTAATGGGATGTCCTCAGATCTTTGTTTAGCCAGAACTAAAATCTGATTTCACTGAGATTGGCAAGTTGTAGGAAGGGCAATGTCACTGAAATTAACCTTAAGGGGTGGGTCAGTGGTTGAGTGCATTTTACAAAGGAGTTAAATTCTGAAATAATATAAAATCTTCCACAGAATAATGAGACAAACAAGGAATAAAGTACATATGACACAAGAGATGGTGCAAAACTTTATCAGGGTCCCTCTTTAAACTTCAGACATTCTCAGTGCACAGTCAGTGGCATCTGTCAACACGAATCATTGCATTTTGCTGTGGGCCCCCTGTTTAAGTCTCCCCACATGTTAACAATCAGCACGTGAAGGTGAGGTGAGAGACAGTAGACTACATACGTGGCTCCGACTGTCCTCAGCTTGAGGAACTGTGGTGTAAACTGGTATCTGACAAAGCGGCCAGCGTTAGGATCACTGTCTTCAAGGTCAAGGTCAGCATCTTCCCCATCTTCTGAAGCAAATAGCATCATGATCAACAGTTATTGAGAACATTTTGAATAATCATCTTTGGCATATCTGATAGCAGGGCTGTAGTCTTTCAGTGAATAAGTGAGTGATTGATATTTTACACCAGCCAGCTGCCTGTCCTTGCAGACAAACAAGTGGCTGACAGAATGAGCAACATTTCACACCATCAGGAAGGCCATACAACATGACCACCTAATCCTCATCAGTTGGCTTTAAAACAAAGCATGAAGTACTGTAGACCCATTCTCTCCTACACAAGTTTGCTTGTCATTGTACCTGGCGGCGTGGGTACTTGCTCAAAGACCGGTGAAGATCCGTGGAAGAATAGGTCTTCAGCAACTCATGTTTGCCATAAAAGGCGACTTTGTGGTAAGAGGCGACTAACGGGATTGGGGGGGTCAGTCTCGCTGACTTGGTTGAGTGAGTGAGTGAGTGAGTGAGTGAGTGAGTGAGTGAGTAGGGTTTTACGCCGCTTTTAGCAATATTCCAGCAATATCACGGCAGGGGACACCAGAAATGGGCTTCACACATTGTACCCATGTCGAGAATCGAACCCGGGGCTTCAGTGTGATCACTAGGCTACCCGACCGCCCCTCCCCCCCTACACAAGAATATCAGTTGAAACAGTCGGGTTCTGACAGTTACAATAAATGTTAAGAGTTCAACAGGTACAGTGTTGGAAACTGCTTCTTGTCCTTTATTCCATGGCTAATGTAGTAAAAGAATCGACAGGATTTGCATAAATTTTCAAAATGTAGAAGGTTTACACATAAGGAATAGTAACTGAAACGGGTTAGTTCTAAAGCAGGGAAAATAATATGTATTATAGCTAAAATGGATAGAATTATCATTAAATTGCCCGCATGATATCAGATAACTTGATAGTGCCCTCATATTATTTGACAACAGGCCATTATCATGCCCGTTGTTAGGTGACGTCATAGGATAGGGATAGGTGACGTCATGTTCAATAGTGACGTCATCTGGTTTGTTCTATGACGTTTCCATATTTGTAAAAGTTGGTCAGTGACATTGGGGTCGATTGTAATAAATGTTTCAAAGCGGATAGTGTTGTTTCTTTTTATTTGATAACAAATTCCATCCATTTTGGCTATAATAACGGTAACGTTATTTTTCAGGGCATTATCATTTGTAGAAACCCTCGGTCTTTTCAACTGCTTTCCTACGGCAGGCAGTTAATTGAAGACCTCGGGCTTCTGCAAATGATAATGCCCTGAAAAATAGTGTTACCCTTATAATAGTTAGAAAAGAACTGCAACAACTTATGTAGTCAAGTTCCAATGGCATGAATAGCTGGACACCAACATCAGGATTACCAAGGCTAAAAAAATAATTTCTCAAAATGTTAATGCATCACAACACTTTCAGTAGCGACAGAAACTAACAGTTTTCGTCCACTAGTCCTTATAATGATAACATAGCAAAACCCTTAAAAATGGCAATTTTCTACTAGTCCTTATGATACCTTTACCATTGGGCAGTTTGGCAAGGACTACAGGACTAGTGCCAATTTCTAACCCTGTTTCAGCCAAACCATAGGTTCTGAACCCTAACAAGGCCATAACAATAGTATAAGAGGGCAAACGTTCACCGACGCGAAACATAATATAACTTCCGTGCTACAAGTGCTGTATAGCATTTGTAGTGTTTCTTTGCTTGTTGTTAAAAGCCACACTCAACAATATTCCAGCTATATGACGGCCTGTAATTAATCCTGTCTGGACAAAATATCCATTGACTGACATCAATCTATGCAATTACAATGACAGTGAGCCTGATCAACTAATCCCATTAGTTTGTTGTTTAACGCCGCACCAAGCAATATTCCACCTACATGACAGCAGTCTGTAATTAATCACGCAATTGGGATACGATAGCATGCATCAACCAAGTAAGCGAGTCTGACCACCTGATCCCGTTGGTCGCCCCTTACGGCAAGCATGGGTTGCTGAAGACCAATTCTAACCCTGATCTTGTCTTCATGGGGTACATTCTTAGTTGCTCATGGACGATACTCCTTTATCTGGGATACAGTAGTGGGATCTAACTTCCTCACTCATACCTAACACAGAAACTTTGAGGGCTGACCACTTCATATTCTAGGTGTATGGGAGTTAGAAATTGTACATCTTTAAACAATGACAGAGAAACTTTCTTTGAAGGAAGACTTAAAAAAACTAAAACGTTTAGAAATTTCCATGTCATCCAGTAAATCCTTTAAAAAGTAACAATTACTTTTATCAAAGAGTGAGTAGACCGCCCCTTTTATCAAAAAATAGGAAAATAAAACAATATTTTTAGAATAAAATTCCCCAAACCCACCACTGAGACAAAGTGTATTGTAGACTAAGATACACACAGGGAGCATGCAGAATTGGGATGGGAAAAGGTCTTGAAACTTACCAGGCGGGGGAGGTTTAGCTACTTCAAACAGCACTGTGCCGGACTCCATATCCCGCAGCTTGAAGCGAGTGAAGTCAATTCCATACACATTGGCCTCTGGTGGGCACAGGTACTCTGAAACAAAACATGGTACATTAACTTTGACACAAGTCTTATGTCAGACGAAACAGATCTTCCAATATCATAACTATCACAAGGCAACAAATCTTTTCATTGTACAGTTTGCAGGTTTTTATTCTTCCAAAAAATTAGCTTGTACAAAATAAAAATTCTTATTGTCATCGGACAGTGTTGGAGTACTGATGGTTTTTTCCACCAGTCATTGACTCATTGACACACTGGCACTGGCCTCAGAGCTCCGGATAACTTTTTGAACAATTGAGTTTGTACTCGACTGTTTCTATTTTAATTGGTTTATTACATTTTTCATTGGGTAACCAATATTATTTCACTCATCTATTCATCACTCTTCTGGGTTTTCCCTAAACTGAGTAAACATTTTGAGATTTAAAAAGAATGAAATAATGTTTTAGATGTATATAACGGTTCTAAATATAGGCTTGACTCGGAAAGTAAATTAGCTCGTAATTGTATTTCGAAAATTAGCTCCGTTGTATGCATGCTGAAAAAGGTTCATTTGGTATTCATGCGTGATGTTTTTATACATTTGAGTTTTTCATTTAATGCATGCGTTTCTGTACGCAAGTTAATTTAAAGTAATTGGGCCTTGGAATATTTAGGGGCGTATTTTCCGCAAATACGCAGCACATCTGTAGCTCTGAGCCTACTAGTCAAGTAAAAGGTATCCTCAGCGCTAGTATAATTTCAGGTGTTATTAAGGCTGTCCTTATATCATGTTATATGTTATAACAAATTCAGGTAAAGTTGCATCCCAAAAATCGTTGTTTAACGCTGCACCAAGCAATATTCCACCTACATGACAGCAGTCTGTAATTAATCGTGTCTGGTCCAGACAATCAAGTGATTGACATCATGAGCATCAATCCACACAATTGGGATACGATAGCATGCATCAACGAAGTAAGCAAGTCTGACCACCCGATCCCGTTAGTCGCCTCTTACGGCAAGCATGGGTTGCTAAAGACCAATTCTAACCCTGATCTTATCTTCATGGGGTACATTCTTAGTATTTGTAGCTCTGAGCCTACTAGTCAAGTAAAAGGTATCCTCAGGGCTAGTATAATTTCAGGTGTTATTAGGGCTGTCCTTATATCATGTTATATGTTATAACAAATTGAGGTAAAGTTGCATCCCGAAAATCATGACAAGTTAGTGTTAGTAGGGGGGACTCTGGGATCTTTGAGAATTCACATAAAGATTACATACTGACATGCTTGATATTAATGAATAACATTGGATTTAAGACATGAAATCCTTTACCACTGTTCAAACTAAAATCGGAAAAAAAATTTCACTAATTGTTGATAGGTATCTGTACCCCCTCAATCTGCCACCTATAATAACACCAATGAGAGGCCTGATAGCCGTAAAATTACTTAAGCAAGTCTAAAATTTCTATAAACATGATTAACATAAAACCTATTACAATTCTCCAGAGTATTGTAAATAACCTATGACAGATGGTTGTTGTCTGGCCACAAAGCGATCTACCATGTAAAGTGAATATCACACGAACTAATATTTCTGTGATCGGCCTCTACAGTAGCAAACAAAATGCCAAATCACCAAGCTAAAATATCAGTTGCTCCCGAGTTCCTCGTGACCAGGAAGTGAGGTGGTATACGACAATCCTTCAGGGAAGTGTGGATACTACTCATGCAGATTATTTCCTGTTGCCATGGAAACGATGCATCAAACAACAACAAATCCATAAAAGTGTCATCCGCAATGCTGTTTATACCATGAATGGTGACAATGTGCTCTATCATGCTCTATCATTATAATTGATCTGTGATTACACTCAACCCATAAACAGTGCTATGTTGCTTATGGTTAGAGGACTACTTTAATAACCAATACCATACACAGGACTTAACTATTCGTGTATAATATGCACTAGTGTGTTATATGCACCCTTAAATATGGGCAATTAAATTCTGGAAATATATATATCTGTAGCATATAAACATTTCAGGCTATCAGCATTAACCACTAAATTAACGTTCTTTCAACTCTAATAATTTTCTAATAAGAGCCCCCTATTCCAATTTTGAGAGCGCCCTGGGCGCTTATAACGTCAAATATGATATTCACCATATCAGTGCCTTCACAAAGAAATCTAGAAAAAGATAACCCATAAATCATGCATATTCAACAATAAATATGCATTTAATAGAACATTTGTATTAGTATGTCTAAATAAAATGCCCAGCAACCATTCCACAAATGATAGGGGCTGTAAGGTGATCGCAACTCCAATGCTTTAACATAGACCTAAGACTATCGTTGCTCTACCATTGCTTTGTGGGGGCCAGGACCCACACAATAAATTATGTGTTTACATGATTGTGTAGCCTGGTGTAAACTATTCAAAGTATTGGTTTATCATGAGGAAGTCACATTTTGACTACACACATAGGTACGCAATATGCAAAGCCCATTCTTGGCACCCCGTGCCATGATATTGCAGGAATATTGCTTAAGTTGGCATAAATTACTCATTAACCAGCAATGAGACAGAGTGCTCATGATATTAATCACTGGATTGTCTGGTCCAGTTAGAATATTCATGAATGTGGTTTCAAAAACAAACAGATCACAAGACCTAAAATGTCTGTTCAAATGGCCGGCCATCCAGACCTCGAACAGAGAGACACATACTGTATTCCACGTAATAAGCTCCCCGCTCTAATAAGAGCCCACGGCGATATTTGCTAATATATTGGCTAGTGAACAATCCCAATTAGCACCCCTTCCGATTGATCAATGTACACAAGACTTACTTATTCGCGTATAATACCCACTCGTGTGTTATATGCACCTCAAATATGGGCAATTAAATTCTGGAAAAATATATCTGTCGTATATAAACATTTCAGGCTGTCAGCATAAACAATGAAATTTATCTTTCAACTCTGTTTTTTTTTCACCAAAATAATATTCTAATGAGACCCCCCTATATTTCTAATTTTGAAAACACCCTGGGTGCTTATTACGTCAAATACGGTATTCAGAAATGCATGAACTATCTCCCACGACATGAACATGGTTTACCCAAGCCTCCAGCATGTGATTACAAGGTCTTAATCAGTCTGAAATAGTGATAATAATAATTGTCCATTTGTATGGTGTGTTTCCGATGCTGAACATCATGCGAACTATTGCCCCAGTAAATGCACTCAAATATCATTCTCAGCTCCCTGGGGAGTACACAACCTAAGCTGACTGAGGCGCTGGAAGGTTAACAGCCAAGATCCTAAAGGTTCCCATTCACAGCTGAGAGAACAGAGGTATATTTCAAAGTCATTTTCCCAAGGAGACACCACCTGTGTTGCAGGCTTCGATGTGGGGCAGGACCAATCGTCCAGAAACTCTCAGAAGCCAAGCTGCCCAAAAAGGACACCCATCAAAGGACTCCCTGCTTAACTTTACCTGATTTGTGGCACGTGCGCTGTGCACAGGACCACGTGTCACTTGTTTTGTACATGCTGGTGTAGATAATCATTATCATTTTTCTCAGATGTTCTGTGCTCAGATGTAGCTTTTGCTCCCCTGGGCTCCGTTCAACAATGCGATCTTAGCGCTACGATGAACGTAAGTCTATGTTAAAGTATGGGAGTTAAGATCACCGTAGTGCTAGGATCACTTTGAGGAAAAGGGAGCCCTGAATCAATGTGTGATTTAATACAGTCAGTGTCAGCAGAAAGAAATAGACATTTGGGCAGTTTAGAATAAATTACGTCTTTCCCGACATAAATGTTACAAGCCACAAGATACCGAACAGGCAGCTATTTCCAGGGTTTTACCTTGACTTACAAAAGTTGAGGTCCAAGGACCTCAATAAGTAATTTTAAGGTTCCTTGCAGGCAATATGAGGGACCTACATGTAAAGTAATGAAATGGTGTTGTGTGCTGTACAGTTTGATAATTTCTTTAGAACTTGGAATGAATCAAAGATCATGAGGACAGTGGCCATGATTAATGTATGAAATGACAGACACCCATAACTGTTCTTGATATGGTGTAGGTCCAGTGACTATTGTTGTGCATCCCTAGAGACGCAGTGTATTTTTTTCTGTGTCATTCTCTACATCTGAGCGTACTGGACTCACATTTGTGCATCGCCTAAAACCCTGTATTTCGTACACTGGTCTTAATATGCGGGCCCTACAATGTGCATGATGTAGGTGTCGCCCTGGTCGTGCTCCTACCACGCTATCTGTCTATCATCGTGACAATTACTGTTGTTGATGGCCAGGTAAAGCCCAATTAGCCGTGGCAAGGCCAGGCATTGATCAGCCTGAGACTAAAGCAGAGTATTGATTGGCTGATGATGATGCTGCTGTTGCTGCACTGTCAGCTGACTGTCATCCTCGTCACGATGACCTTCACCTTTCGCTCTACATGTTGGGATGAGAAATCCATGTCCGTTCAAGACATAATTCATTCATGATCTAAATGACTTTGCTGTTTTCCAACACTTCCAATATTGGGGATTCAAACTACTTGGGAAAAAGAAACAACACACAAAAAGCTCTTCGTTGGACATGTCATGACAACACAAATGCCATCCCATCTTGTCAAGCTTTTGACCAGTCAGAGAATTTCATATCTGGTGTGATGCTAGGAAAATTTCTCTTCTCATTGATTAAGTGAATGAGTTTGGTTAACTTCACATTCAACAGACGTCCTATTGTGGGGGGAAAGCCCAGAGTAATTCAGGTCTCAGATGTTAATCATTCAACAGATGTCCTTTGTGGGAGGAGGAAAGGCCAGAGTAATTCAGATCTCAGATGTTAATCATTCAACAGATGTCCTATTGTGGGAGGAAAGCCCAGAGTAATTCAGGTCTCAGATGTTAATCATTCAACAGATGTCCTTTGTGGGAGGAAAGGCCAGAGTAATTCAAGTGTTAGATGTTAATCATTCAACAGATGTCCTATTGTGGGGGGAAAGCCCAGAGTAAGTCAGGT